ATGAACTCAAATTTATTTGAATATGGATATACAATGTGTCACTAACAAATGCTTTTAAGGACTTTTAAAAGTATTTCAGTTTAAAACATGTACATAAACGTTAAAATGAAACAAAATAGATTAACAAACAAAAAATGTGAACAATGAATAATAAATACTCAGGTTATGAACATTAATGTGCATTTAACAAATACAAACGTTCAATTTACGAATACATATCAGTGATCTCCCCAGCATTAAAGCAAGTAGGTGCAGCATCCACCTGAGATTTTAAAACAGGCTTTCACCCACCTGAGATTTTATTTGCACCCACTTGAAAATGAGAAAAATCCTGTAAAATAGGCATATTTTTACCAATTCTGGACTTAATTGTGAACATGAGAATTTTGCACCCGGCCACTTGAGGAAAAATCCTGGGGAGGACACTGCATATTTTTAAATGGAAATAATGAAGTAGAAAACATTCCATAATCCTTGGCTATTTGAAATATTGTTTTCCATTTCATTAACAAATAATGAAAATAACAGGGGAGATAAGCAACTGACAAAGATAAAATGAATTTGAAGATTAAAAATGTTGTTAAATGCTGAAAAATCCGAAAGTACAAGTGTGGGAAAGTTTTACCTAATCTAAGCGGGATGTTCTTAAATGGTACATTTAGACTGATGTCTGTTTCTACCACTTAGATTTTCTACCACTTGCTTTTGCTTGCATATTTAACATTTGAACTTTCTTTGTTTTTTTATTTTTTATTTTCGTCATTTGTTTTATCATTGTAATTGTCATGAGTTAATTGATTTGTTCTTCATGGAATGGCTCATTTTTATCATTGTAATCATTGTAATTGTCATCAGTTGATTTGATTTGTCCTTCATGGATTTGCTCATTTGTTTTACTTTTGTGTATACTAAAAATGTTTCAACATGTCTAAAAATGTTTCTAAACAAAGCAAAGTGAAAGATGTAGTTGTAGATAAATTGATTCCATTGTAATTAATTAAAAGATCATCTGTGGCCAGTTTACATTGGAGTTGAAGAAGTGCTCTTGCAAGGTTATATTGAACTAACTAGGTCTTGGAATTAATCCCTGGATTATTTACTCTACCAACAGTTTTATGCCAAAAGGTGTTTTTTTTAGATAGCATGGCATTAATAAAAATGTAATTTTTTCAATACCTATAACATTAAATCATTTAATATGTAGGAAGTACAAGTTATCCATTGTATATACGTGAGAACATTTATATTTTAACTATTAAAATTAAGTTCCCAATATTCTCAGATAAAACTTTTATTTTAGCCCCAATAATGTTAAATTCAATGTTTCAGTCTACAGGTTACTTCAGGTGCTAGGGTGCTGAAGTAAATTAGATGAAAAAGTTTTTTTGTGGGCACTTCTCATTATTCTTTTCAACATGAAATGCTAAACATACAATATATACAAGTATAAACAAAGGAAAATATGCTAATTATGATCTGTTACCTATTACTTGAGTTCAATATTTCTCATTCTAGCCCCAAATATACAGAAAACAAGGCTTTGTATAAAAAGCCTCGTACCCATGTACATGGGTCATGATACAGTTTTTGAAGTATTCAATTCTAGTTTTCGCTAACTTAGACATGATGTACTCATAGTATTTATTTATAGATGTGATACATATATTTGTCTAATCAAAGATAGCATTAAAGACAGATAGATGATAATTCCCCAGATGATTCACTATCTGGTTCAAAATCGAATGATGGGGGAGTAGTACACCCATAAAGACAAGGTTGTAATGCCATCTCAATGTTGCAATATAGTGACTTTCTTGAAAATAAGAATAAAAAATACTTTAGTGTAGATTGCTTCTATGGTGATCGAGCATTTCAATTTCGCAATTCTGATGAAGGATAAACTTTCATTTATAAGACATGTACATGATGATGCCCAGAGGGCTAGTGGAATATCATCTTGTGAAACTGTCACCGGTATTCACCGAAAATAGAATATTTGTTTTATTATATCACTGTCACAATGTTTTCTATAATATTAAATTATACTAAGTGTATAATACAAATGGCATTGGACTAATTCAATCCTGGGGATGTATAAAATAAAAATTACACTGGACTAAGTTGTGACTGGTAGATATCATTTATTGATTATTGCTAGTTATTTTTAGTCAAGTGCAGGACAAAGACCAATCAGAGAGTGAGGAATATGACAGTGATATAATATTAGTTATTCAGAATTTTGCTGATTAAGAAACTTTTTAGTCTTGATTTTAAAATACTCAGAGAAGGGCTATTTCTGATAATTATTAATTTTCAGTAGATTATTCCAAATACAATTATCTGTCCTTGAATTTTGATGACTTTGATCATTTCGATAATAATAGTCACTGAAAGCTGAGGATAACTTGTCAAGTTATTGTACCAATTATATACAAATTGGCAAACGTTGTATTCACAATTTGCTCACAATTTAAATTGTTTAAATAAAGAAGATGAATGCTATTTTTCACTTTTTCAAAGATAATAATCTTAAAAATGTTTTTTTGAAGTTTTCAACAGTTGTCGATCCAGAGCAGTGGTATAGTTGCTACCCCAAACTACAATACAGTAAAGATTTTTACAATAACACAATCATTTGTCTACTATAAGAATTCTTATTATTTGGGAGAATTTAAATATTTTACCCCTTTTTGCACTTTGAATCTTAAATAACTTTTGATTGTCACCAATTGATAACATATCACAGATCTTTTGGCAGATTTTACATTTGAGCTTCTAAGGAATACATTGGTACATCAATTGTACATATTGTCTGCAATTTTGTCACTCCCTATAGATCTGATTCTACTTTTAAGATATTGTAAATGTCATCTTTTTTTACATGGTTTCAATATCCATTGTGTCTATCTCTTGACCCAGTGGAAAGCAATGATGGGTTAGTGAAAGAAAAAATATTTTTCTCTATTTTGTAGAGCAATGATCATCACCTATAATTAATTATCATATTAAATATCATTAACATTACATTCCCAATAAAACAAGTTGCCAATAGGCATTCCATTAGAACTCATTTGGTAAGATTAGGATCTTTTATTGCCACATTTTACTAAGGGGTTACTTTGTACCCCCCCCCCCCCTTATCACAGGCTGGTATCGAAAGATTTGTCCGCTGTGACGGAGCATGCTATTTTTCATAAAAACACTAACAATGCTTCACGATTTATTTTTATACTCATATGTTTCGTTATATCAAAGATAATTACTTACTCCATGCAATGGATACTGTAAAACGGGTATTGTTAGCGAGGGGTAATTGTTAGCGATTGTTAGCGATCGCTATAGTTTCACTAAAAATTCAATTCGCTAAAATAAACCGGGGTTAAAATAAACCGGGTGCTAAAATTTGCAAATTCCTGGGAAACTACATGAATACTAGTATTTAAGGAGCTTTTCGTTTAGTGCTCGACTTTCGGTTTGTAATTTGAAAAAAGTAAATATTTTTAAATTGTATGTATTTAAATGCTACCGTGATTTTGTGATTACTCAGATGAGATTACAGTAGTTTGGACCAATACCATGTGCGTTAGAAGTCTTACATTTTGATAATTCCTCTGTCATGTCCGTTATTCATTCTTCTGCCATAAATGATAAAATTTCTAATGTATTTGGCTAATTTGATTTTTTAAAGATTAATCTTCATTTCGCTAAAATTTCCCGCGCCAAAACCCCCTAAAATTGAAAAATCGCTAAAATTTCCCGGTGTCAAAATTACCCGTTTTACAGTACATCATTTGCGTGTAACCTTCACTTCTGTTTGAAGCCCAATAACACTAGGAGTAAAGTCTATTGAAAACGGCGCCAGAGTATCAAACTCTAAAATGTACCATTTCTTTTTAAACTTTTTTTAATGGCATGATATAGTGACACGATAATATTAACATATGTTTTCAGCATAACTCTGAATGTATTAATGAGATATTAATGCATTCGGTCTTTTTAATTTTTTTATAAAAAATAATATTAATATTTTTTGTCCGCTGTGACGGAGCATTTCCACAGTTCACATTTGCAACTGCTCCGTCACAGCGGACAAAATAATTAAACATTATTTTTTATAAAAGAATTAAAAAGACCAAATACATCAACATCTCATTTATACCTTCATAGTTATGCTGAAACCATGTGTAAATATTATCGTGTCACTATATCGTGCCATTAGAAAGTTAAACACGAAATGGTACATTTTGAAGTATGATACTCCGGCGCCATTTTCGATAGCTTTTCTTCCCAGCGTAATTGTACTTCAAACAGAAGTGAAAGTTACCCGCAAAAGATATATCCATTGCATGGAGTAAGTAATTTTGTATGGTATAACGAAACATATGAGTTAAAAAATAAATCGTGAAGTGTTCTTAGTGTTTTTATGAAAAATAGCATGCTCCGTCACAGCGGACAAATATTTCGATACCAACCTGTGCTTATACCCATTGGCGTAATTAGCTTAATTTATTAACTAAAATTGTGCCAAACTAGCAAAATTATATGCCTATTATGTTAATTTTGAAGAGAATTGATATTACAATGCTTATTTGATAATATTAGCACTTATAATACAGTTAGCAGATATTTTCACCTTAAGTCGCATATACCCCAAATCTTTTTTAAAAGTGCAAGTCACATCTACCCCATCAAGTCGCATTTACCCCATGTATATTACTCAGGTTGCGCCTACCCCAGTTTAGGTCACATCTACCCCATCTCAAGTCGCAAATACCCCGGTGGTGGGGTAGGCGTCCCTTGTCAGGTCACACCTACCCCGCTTGTCGTCCATCATGAGATATGCACATCTACCTTTGGTCCCTACGGTCCCTCAGGTAGATATGCATATCTCCCTCTGGATAAACCCCATATCCAAAACCTCCCAGTACATAACCCTTATATATTATTTATATGTTTGATATTGATTTTAATGTTTAAAAATGGTATTTGATTCTTTCTAGGCATGTAGTGTTCGGCAATGAGACTTGCTCACATCTTGTAGTATGTACCACACAGACTAAAATGTCTGTCTGCAATATGCTGTCCTTTTCTTGTGAGTACTACATCTGATTGGTGGTAATGTTTTGAAATGCAAAATAAAGAGGATAAGAATCAAGAGAGGAAGTTGTGAGATTCTTGTTAATGTCAAAAACTCCAAGCTGTATACAAAAATGTCAGAAAATCGCAAGATACTTCATTCAAAGAGAGATTTTTTGGAGTCTGGGTTTTATTTGCATAATAAATTGATTTAAAAGATGATACATTACTTCTTTGGGGCCTCCTTGGCTGAAAACATCATTGATCTCTTCTAGAGAGAAAAATCAAAGACTTTTACAATATGTACTTTTTGTTTCAGTAATATTACTGGATGAGCGTGGTGTAAAAGTGGTTTTGAAAAATAGCAAATTTCTCTTTATGTAGGTAATTTGTGGTTTATGATTCTACATTGATTCTGAAAATACTGGTGTCTAGTTTTTCAGCGTTTTGGAAATATTCAGATTTATACCCCCCTTGTTTGATTTTGAGGGGGGTACTAGGAAGGCCATGTAAAATTCCTAGAATTTACAACCAATCATTTTGATATTTACAGGTAATCGTGTACTTATCATGTCCTACAAAAGTAATAAGTTTCATCAAAGTTAGTCAACTGGTTGCTATGGAAACGGAGATCATATGTCAAAAAGTACACAATTTCGTCAAAATGTAAGACACCCCATGAGACAAAACACATATTTTTTAATGAAATTGGAAAGAAACACCATAAAAACATTTTAGAAAACTTATTCAGAGTATGTTTGATAATATTAAATCAAGTGCTGTTTTATCCTATCCACACAGTGAAATCTAAAAAGTACACATTTTCGTCAAAATGTAAGATACCCCATGAGACAAAACACATATTATTTTCATGAAATTGGAAGGAATCACCATGAAACCATTTTAGAAAACTTATTCAAAGTATATTTGATAATATTAAATCAACTGCTGTTTTATCTTATCCACACAGTGAAATCTATTGCTCATGATTATATGGCAATGCAAATTAATTTAGAAAGGGGACGTGGCACTTTTCCAAAGAATTCTTAACTTGTGTCCAAATTTTTGAAGAAAATAAATAACCAATTGTCCTGTTATTTACAGATATTATTCACATCATTATGTTTGACTATCATGGAAAGTTTCATCAGTGTTGGTTTACTGGTTACTATACTATGCAGATTTATACCCCTTGGTATGATTTTTAATGGGGGTACAATGAAAGCCATCTATAATTCCTAGAATATACAGCCAATCATCTTGATATTTACAGGTAATCGTCTACATATCATGTCTTACAACCATGACAATTTTCATCAATGTGTATCAATTGGTTGCTATGGAAACATAAATCATTTTTTCAAAAGGTACTATGAAAGCCATATATAATTCCTAGAATATCTAACCAATCATCTTGTTATTGGCAGGTAGTTATCTACTCACCATGTTCTTCCACTATGACAAAGTTCATAAATGCGGGGCAAATGGTTGCTATGGTAACAGAAATCATTTGTTAAAAAGTACACATTAGGGCGTACTATGAAAGCCATTTATAATTCCTTAAATATCAAAACAATCATTATGATATTTCCAGACAATCTACTACTTATCATGTCCTACCATGATGACAAGTTTCATCAATGTGGGTCAAATGTGGGTAGAAATCTATTTGTTAAAAAAAGTACACATTTCGTAAAATTTTAAGACACACCCTAAGACATTGAAAATCTTCATCAAATTGGGAGGAATTAGCATGAAAACATTTTTAAAAACCTATTTTGAGTATGTCTGATAATATTTAATCAATGGATATTTCATCTGGGCCATTTGATATATTGTATTTGCTTATGATAATAAAACTATGCAGAATGCGGCTGTCACATTATGCGTAGGGACATAGTTAATTATGAGCTGATCTCACTTAGTCATCTTTTATATCATTTGCATCAAAATCCTCATTCATAGATCTTTCAACGTCTACTTCTGTCAAAGCATCCGTTGCAATCTTTATGTGACTATATGTCTTTGAGATCATCAGGTGGAATGGGTTGGTCTGGCCAATTTGGCTCTATTTTGCCATCAACAAGTTACCACGTCACTTGTAATAAACAAACTAAGAGATATATACAACTATTACACCCAATTAAAAATACTGGAAATGCTTCTTAATGAATTTTAAAAACAATGAACAGTTGAAAAAAACCATCAGACATAAAAAAGTTGAGAACAACAGCATGTATTACTCTGAGTGTGAAACATGTCCATTGTGTTACGCGGTATATGGCATACATTTATGGTTGCGCGGTATTTGTGATACGGGTGAATATGCCATACTCACCTGCAGTATATGGCATATACCGCAGGTGATTATGCGATATTCCGCAGTGAATATGCGATACATTGATTTCAGTGAATACCCGATACTCACTTGCGGAATATGTCATACTCACTTGCGGAATATGCCATACACCACAGGTGAATATGACATATACTGCAGGTGAAAACGTGATACAGAAAGCCTTGATTTGATTGGTTGCGAGAATCGACTCTAAATGTAAAACTACGCTGGATTACCAATATAGTTAGTGTGTCGAGTACTAATATATGAATCCTGGATTGATTAAGTTTATTACGCGAGATTGGTGACTGATATTTCTGCTAAGTTAATATATTCGATACACAGTACTGTTGATTCAGTAATCACCCAATAATAATTTATAACGTTTTACTTGTTCGTTCAATCTATGCAATTGACAATTGCGCACTTCCATATCACGTTCTCATTGGTTAGTGTATATGCCATATACCACAGGTGAATCTGTCATACACCACAAGTGAATATGCCATATTCGTTGTGGAATATGACATATTTTTGTATCGTGTTTACCGCGTAACACGTTGATGACCAGTGATGGCAATAAAGCGTCCACTGTTGTGATTGATGAGATGTGATAAGTTTTATGAAATGTTTCCATGCTTATTTCTCCCAAAATGATGAACATATTATGTGCTTAATGTCAAAGGTTACATGAGTCTTAAATTTTTACGAAAATGTGTACTCTTTGAACAAATGATTTCTGTTACCATAGCAACCAAATTACCAACATTGAGGCACTTGTTATACTGGTAGGACATGTAAACGGATGATTACCCGTAAATATCAAGATGATTGATTGAATATTCTAGGAATTATACATGGTTTCATAGTACCCCTTAATGTGCACTTTTTAACAAATTATTTCTGTTACCAGAGCAACCAATTGACCAACATTGATGGCACTTGTCATACTGGTAGGACATGATAAGCAGATGATTACCTGTAAATATCAAGATGATTGATTAAATATTCTGGGAATTATACATAGTACCCCCATGATGTGCAATTTTTAAGAAATGATTTCTGTTACCATAGCAACCAATTGACCAACATTGATGGCACTTGTCATACTGGTAAGACATGATAAGCAGATGATTACCCATAAATATCAAGATGATTAATTGAATATTCCAGGAATTATACATAGTATCTCCTTAATGTGTATTTTTTAATAAATTATTTCTGTTACCATAGCTACCAAGTGTTAAACATTAATGAAACTTGTCATAGTGGTAGTGCATTATAAGTAGATGATTACCTGTAAATATCAAGATGAATGGCTGTATATTCTAGGAATTATAGATGGCTTTCATTGTACCCCCCTTAAAATCATACCAATGGGGTATAAATCTGTTTACCATAGTAACCAGTTATCCAACACTGATGAATTTTTCCATGCTAGTCAAACATAATGATGTGAATAATATCTGTTAATTTCAGGACAAATGGTTATTTATTTTCTTCAAAAAGTTGAACACAAATAAAGAATTCTTTGGAAAAGTGCCACATCCCCTTTCTAAATTTACTTGCATTGCCATATAATCATCAGCAATAGATTCCACTGTGTGGATAAGATAAAACAGCAGTTGATTTAATATTATCAAATATACTTTGAATAAGTTTTCTAAAATGGTTTCATGGTGATTCCTTCCAATTTCATGAAAATAATATGTGTTTTGTCTCATGGGGTATCTTACATTTTGACGAAAATGTGTACTTTTTAACATATGATCTCCATTTCCATAGTAACCAGTTGATCAACTTTAATGAAACTTGTTATAATGGTAGGACATGATAAGCACATGATTACCTGGAAAAATCAAGATGATTGGCTCTATATTCTAGGAATGATATATGGCTTTCCAAGTACCCCCCTTAAAATTACACCAGGGGGGTATAAATCTGAATATTTCCAAAACGCTGAAAAACTAGACACCAATGATTTCAGAATCAATGTATAACTAGAAGATTGCAAGCAATCTTACGGAGGCCCTGTAGGCTTTTTTGAACATTTAAAGGTCAGCCAAAGGTCAAATCTTAAATACAATGACATATATGAACTCCAGGCATCTTGTAGATGATTTTAAAAAAAAAGTTTGGTCAATTTGAAGCAATGTGAAATTTGACCTTGAAAAATTTCAACATTAGACCTTTTTCAGTTTTTGAGGTCCAATATCTCAAAACTGGTGCAGAATTTTAATAGATAATCAATTGTTATTATGTGTAAAACCTTTAGAGGAATATATATCCTGACTTTAATTCAAAAATATTGATTTGTAGTCACAAACTTTGAGAAACTTAGAAAACACAGTTTGTGATCTTGTTTGATGACCTTGACCTTTGACCTTACAGGTTTTACTTTTTTAGACCTCAGTATATCTTTTCTGATTGAAGAAACCTAAATTTGAATCCAGAAAATCAATTTGAAAAATTAACTTTTTTGACCTTTCGAAGGTCACTGAAGGTCAACTAAAGGTCATAGTTCAAAACTAAGGTCAGATTTGAGTTCCTGAGATCTTGTAGATGCTTTTTAAAAAAAAGTTTGGTCAATTTAGAGCAAGTTGAAATTTGACCTTGAAAACATTTGAAATTTGACCTTTTTTCAGTTTTTGAGTTCTAATATCTCAAAACTGGAGCAA